AGGAGGAAGAGATCCGTGCTGAATCAAAACTACAGATGCTGCTGCAGTGGTGCGTAAGCAAAAGACCCTCAGGGGTTTCTGTGTACATGTGTGTTTTAGCATTTCTCACCTTGTAAGGCCCATTTTTTCCAACAAATACTACATTGTGAGGACCCACTACTTATTATGGGGCCTCATAAGATAAGATAAGATAAGATAAGATAAGATAAGATAAGATATTCCTTTATTAATCCCGCAGTGGGGAAATTTACATTGTTACAGCAGTACAGAGGACAGAGCAGAACCAATATAAAAATCTATATATACAAAAAATACAAGTGAATATAGAAATACTGAAACAGTAATGTATGAAGTATAAAAAATAAGTAAATTCCAGGTGTATATGTTAAGGTAGGCAGATAAGTAAATAATAAATGAAATAGTAATGCAAGTCATATTGCACATGGTGACAGATAGGCAAGTTGTTATACATGGTGAATTTGATATTGCACACAGTTGAGCACTGTACCAGTCATAAGTGATTAAAGCGAACAGGTGTTGCTGGGTTACAGAGTAGGTTTAGGACTAAGGTGTAAATTGATTTCAGGTTTAGGGTGATTCATAGAAATGAATGGAAGTCAATGCACAGTCCTGATGAAGATAGAAAGATTTAATATTTGTGTTTACATGTGGGAATAAAGATTTCTGATGAGGCATTTTTTAACAGTGGAGATGTGTATTCCTGAAAATCCCTGCTTAAAATACTTTTTGAAAAACAATAGACTACATTCAAATCTACTCAGCTAACATAAACAACACATCTTCCAAGAAAATAAATAATTTCTTCTCATCAGATTAAAAGACACTCCACGTAAACTGGAAAGGGTTTATTTCCTCCCAGTTCTTTGCTCCAGATTTCACTTACTGCACTATACCTAAACTCCGACTAATATGATAAGAGAAATTTGAAAATTGTTCAACTTTTCTTGAAAAATCTCAGTTTAAAAGTTCTGAGCAAAATTCTTGATGAATGTCCACCTCAAACACCAAATGTCTTAGTCCGACTTCGTTCTCTCTTTTGCCATTAAGGATCAGTGATTGTGTTAAAAATAACATACAGGCTGCAACATTTGAGGGAATTACATGAAAATACAAATCCATAACTGCACATATGAATAATTTTGAATAACTATGCAGCTTCCTCAACATGAGTAAGAGCGGCCTTTAGACCTACAAGTCGTGCACTGCAACGAGTGAGTCAGTGATTCGCAAAGTTGCCAGCTTGTGCAGTGTGGGTCAGTGTGTGCTGTCCCTACATTGTTCATTGGATTGGCCTGTTTGTGTTCGAATCACAGTCACGTGCATGCATGAGTGCGTGCTACCTCCTTGCCCAGAGGCATGCCACTTCCCAGGGCGCAGGTGAGACCGATGACTTTGGCCACAAACGTTTTGAAAGTGAGGTATTCCTTCAGCACCACCCCTCGCAGGATGGTCTTCATCTCAGGAATGCCTGAACCTGCAGGACAGAAGACGAGTGATGAGCAGCTGACATTTCAGTCAGAGCTGATTCAAGCCTTCAGACTTTTAGGAGTGCACCCATTAGTTTAGCCTCCGTTAGTGACAGTGAAGTCTGCTCCTTACCCACCGGAGTGTACTTACATACTGTGCTGCGCTGCATTCAAATAAACCAAACCTGAATGCCAGGAGGTACTGATGTATTCAGGACACTAGTGGGAGATTTACAGTTCTTTTCCAAACTTGTAGAGAAACGGAGAGGGCTATCTAGGGAAGGAATGTGAGGTTTACTAAGAGAAGGTTTTTACTTTCTGGTCAGAGGTTTCCAGTTCCGTCATCGTGAATATTAATGTTAAAGAAAAGCTCAATAATGCATTTTAACAATGCATTCATTAATACACAACAAAAAATCAGATTTATTTTAAAAAGACTTGCGTTTCATTAAAAAAAAAACTGTCTTTAGGCTGCAGCTAACAATCATATTAGTAATTGATTGTTTCAACAATTATTCTGACAATGAATCATCTAAAAATAATTGCCACATTCTGCAAATTTTTCATTTAACTACTGAAGCCCTTTCATTCAATATCAGAAAACATTAAAATATGCTAAGAAATAAATAATTCAATTCCGTTTTAATTAAACTTAGCATTTTTCTAGTGCTATGTGTGATCACTTGCTGCAAAGGATGCATCTGCAACTACAAAAAATACTTCTAACAACAAGGAGGGGGCAGAATTATGCTGAGGGACAGCATCATTGCCAGTGGTACTGCTGCACTGTTCAGAGCTGAGGAAACAATGACTGAAGGCTAATTCCAAATTCATGGATGTTTCAAAAGGAGCATAATCTAAGACATCCATTAATTCTAGTCTGAAAAGATGAGGACTCATGGGATTTGCCATTTCTAATAAGAGTCTCAAATGGTTGCTAGTTGATGGCAACATAATGCTCAATGATCCAACTTCCTAAGGGACATCTATCCAAATGTTAGTGGAGGTGTTTTTGTCTTTTACTCTCTCTGTAAATGACAGAAAACTAACAATACAATCCAGCTTCTACACAAAGTTCTTGGTTTAAAAAAAAATTCATCATGACTGGAAATGTTTCAAAGTCTTAAAACTGATTGACTTGTGACGTTTTGGTCAAATATAAATGTAATAAGAAGAAAAGCTACACCTTCAAATAGTGGTAAATAAATGCATTGTGTGTTTCTGTTTTGAAAGGCCTGAACAGCCGTCCTGTCTTGTTTGTGTGTCCGTCAGTGTGTGTGTCATACCAACAGCCTGGGGAGCGAGGATCTGTGTGAAGCCGGCAGAGAAGGTGATAAGGACCACAGGGTAGGTGACCCAGGCCAGGTACTGTAGGAACACGTTACTGTCCAGACCACCATACATCCACTTCTGTGCTGTTGAAACATACATAGGTAAAGACACTTACCTTTGACTTCTCCTAATTTATGCCGGTTTATCTTTTATGAACTTATCCTATGATGCAGTATCCCAACAAGATACGTCCAATCACATTTATCAGTACTTTCTTACCCTGGGCATCAACTTTCATTGGGTTTTGAAAAGGCTCCAGAGTAACTACAATATTCTAAAAACTCTTTATTTCACATCACGTAACCATGATGGATATGAGTTTTGATCCAGGTGAGAGACTGCCTTATTCAAAGTGATCCAGACACTAATTTCCTTCATCCTTAAGACTACTCCTGTTACTCAGCAATAAAGTAAGAGGCTTGCAACATATTCCAAAGTGAAGATGACTTGTGTTGGCAGGCCTGAAATTGTTCTCTATTAGGCAAAAAGTAAAATCTAAGTCTTTCAAATTGGTTGTCAAGCCTCAACGTATTGATCACAGACATTCGAGTTTAACAAGACAAGTAGAGCATTTTGCTGATAAAAGCCTCCTCCCTCACCTTGTAGGCAGATAGCGATGCAGAAGTCTACCACCCAGCTGACGAGGGCCATGACCAGTCCAAGCAGGATCAGGAAGATCCAGTCCTCTCCAACTCGTGAGATCAGGAATTTTTGGCAGCGAACTGTGCAAACTGCAGGAAGACAACAAAACATGTCAGCTGAGCGGCATTACCCAGATCAGAGCCGTGTTTCAGACCAAGAATTAGCTGATATTGAAAAGCACATTCCCAAACTGTCCCTGCATTGTGAGTGTTAAAAACAGCTGTGTACTGAACTGATGAAGAATTAATTTGTACACATCAGACATATGTTACCTGCTGATCATGCATATTTCCTCCCTGGATAGCAGTGTTAAGCCTTCAATACTTTCCCAGGTGCAGAAAAACCTCCCCACAGCGTCATGCTGCAACAAAGTTTCACTGTGTTTTTGTTTAATGTATCTTTTGTGAAGTTTTAGTTTGTTAGTTAGTTGGTTCTCCAGTCCACAAGTCTTAAGAAGGCCTGTTGCTCCCACCCAGACATATTTTATATTTTTAAAGGACCATTTTGATCTTGCATAACCAAACTAAGAATCGTGACCATATTCTGTTAGAAAGTTGGACGTGGTTCCAGTGCAGATTGGACTCCGCCAGAGCTCTTCTTTGTCCCTAGTACCGTTTGTGGCGGTCCGAACTTGCTGAAGGAAATGGGACTGAAGCACCTTAGGTCGTCCCATTGTGATATGTATCAATGATTTTTGAGGAATGTTTTTTTATTTTCTGAATGTAAATCAGAGGTTAATAAAAAAACAGCATAAAAAACATTTGAAGGTCCTGTGCATGCAGTCATTCTGATGGCAGAGAAGGGAAAATACAGCCGCTGAAGAGGTGCATGAGGTGAAGAGAAAATACTGCAGGGATTGGAAAGAAAACCACATGCACACATTCTCCAATTAACACCATGAGCTGTGAACTGAGGCAAAAGCTGTTAAAAACGCTTCCACTATCACAGAGTTTTGCCTGTGCTTTCCATCACTCCATCTCCAATTTTGTGACAGATCAGAGGAACAGGCCTTGTACGTGAGTATATTAAGCTGTAAGTGTTATGTGAGTGCATGTGTGCAGGCTTGTGCGTCATCTCACCCACGGGCCGTCTGTGTTCCTACACCCCTTCTGTCATCCAGTCAATGTAAGAATAGTGTGTGTGCATGTGCGCGTGTGTGTGTGTCAGCATGCACAGATGCAGGCATGACTTCCTTGTGCTTCTGGGCAGAGTGTATATGTGCCTTTACAACATCAAGTGTAATTTGGGCTGTTTGGATGTTTAAATTCATTAGCTTACAGTCCTTGATGGCTTTTCCGCACAGGCACAGAATCACAGCGGTCCTACAGACTAGTTGCTGCCTTTATTCTTCATGGCATGCAATAAGCAGCATGCTCCTTCCCAGTGACTCTTATTGCCAGAGTCATCCCATGAATCCTCCCCCGATCCCTTCATCCATCTTTTAATCACATTCAACCTCTGATTTGGCTTCTAAGCCTCACATCTCCCTCTCTTTCTCTTGCAGGTCTTATTTGAAACTTTTAACTCCTCTTTTGCGCCGTTTTTCCTTTCCTTTTGCACTCCTTCCTTCTTTTCCTTTTTTAGTCTTACATGTGCACTTGCTCAATCTCTCCTCACCAAGAGACATAGTGCCCACAAACCTGCTGAGACTAATTTAGGTTGCCTTGGATACACAATGCATCAAGCTCCTCTATCTGACATTAGGGAACTGCACTAGAGAGCAGCCTACGTCACTCCCGTCTATATATTTTTTCTCAAATTAAAAAACTATGGCTGGACTGAAACATCTCCAATCAAACAATTGCTAACAATTTATCTGAGCATTTCAGATAAAGTTGTGGGGTGCAGATTTAATGCGGCATGTAAACATCTGCACACCTAGAATAGGTCTTTGCAACAGCAGACTGCGTTTGCATGACCTTTAGGCAGAACAAAACCATTTTGGAAACCAACACTGGTCCCATTCTGCTGTGATTTTACTGTGAAAATGAGGAGAATAGAAAAGCAGAGTGAACACACACCTGAAGAAAAACACTACCAGTGCAGATTCCTCATTACTGCTTCCACTGAAAACCCAATTATTCAAATCAGCCCTTCATGTATTATGCAAGGTGACAGCCTTCTAAGGGTGTAAAAGGCCTAAAAGGCTGACCATTAATACACCAATTTTGCTCGGTCATGCCAATGAGGCATGCTCCCTCTTCGTGTCTATGTGGCTCCACATTCATTATGGAGCTTCATGCATGAGGCAGAGATTCAATTAGAAACGGCTCGCTGTGTTTAAAACCACCTGCTTAATTAGATCAGGAGGAGCACAGATAGACAAACGCCACTGTTTGGATCATTTGAGTTTTAAATGCCAATGCTGACCGATACAGGATGGATTCAACTGAAACTGATGCTTGGCGCCAATCGGTGTGCACACACACACACACACACACACACACACACACACACACACACACGTTAAAGATTTTTCATAAGTTGTCATGTTATTTTCAGGATTTTTACAAACAGTGTCCCATCTGAGTTGCATCAGATTTTAAATTAACCAAGTGCAAGTAAAAAAAGAAGCAGTTCAAACTAAAAGAGCTGCAAAACTAAAAAAGGTTGGATTGGGAATCAGAGCAAGAAATGTATTATTCTTCTGGTCTTGAATTAAGCAATGGCTTAATTATCTCGTCAGCATGATATCAAGTTCTCCTGCAACATGCCAACTATCAGTTCCTTTTATCAAACTGTGCTGAAACAGGAATTGCTCAAACCTTGGGAAGGTAAAACCACAAACCCCAGAGGTTCACCCACCAGCAAAACAATAGCCCAAAACTTACATCCAGGGTTATGTTGCTGAATTAGAATGCCTCCAGTTTAAAAATTATGTTTTAAACTGGACCTCAATTAGGTTCAATTTAAAACACAATTGAGAATCTGAACAAGATTTGAAAACTGATGTGCACAGTTTTCAAATATTCAATATGAAGATTTCAATTTGACTGAGGTCCAGTTATTATAATTATTTTTTTCAAAGAAGGATGAGCAAAAATTTGCCTCAAGACCTGCAAAGCTGATTGAGACATAGTTCAGCAAACATTCTGCTGGTTTTCTCTAGAAAGCTGATTTAGCAAAAGGTACTACTCAGTTAGGCTGAAAACACAGTCACAGTCTGAGGTTTTAGACAGCTTCCTCTTCATAAAAATGTGCTACTTTGTGTTAATCTTATACTTAAATTCCAATGAAATACATTGAGGTTTGTGGCTATAATGAAACAAAATGTAAAAAAATATATATTATTAATGGAGAACGACCAATTTCACAAAGACTGCAGTAACAAGCCATTGACACTTAGTTTACTGCATAGCCTAGCACTATGTATTCTGTTCCCCTTTTTTATACACAGACAATCACATGCACACGTTTGCATGTCTATCTTTGTGGGGACTTTCCATCGACTTCCATTCATTTCTATAGCCTAAAACTTACCCTTATCCTAACCCTAACCCTATCTATTACATACCTAACCCCAACCAAAACTCAATTCACACCTTAGTCCTAAATCTAACCCCTGACCCAAAAACAGCGTTTCCCATTGTGGGGACCAGGCTTCGGTCCCCACAAGGAGCAGTGGGTCCCCACAACATCATATGCGTCAGGAAAATGGTCCCCACAAGG